CGCCTGGTTTGTTTAAGAAAGCTCATTTTTCTCTGCTACTCTCCTCCTCCAACGTGACGCACTCTCCCTTCCCTGTTTTTTTCTCTCTTCCTACCTATGAGACATTAGTTAAACAGTGAGCTGGCTCTGACACATTACCTGCCCTCTGGGGAGTAAAATAAAGGGAAGTTTAAAAAGGATCTCAAAGGAATTTCACAGAATTTAGTATAGCAAAAGACCACCACCAAATGCATTGGCCAATGTAAGCAGCCACATAATGACAAACCAGCTATTGCGTGAGAGGGAGAAGCAGAATTATAAAATTGCACCCCTCAAAACTCCAGCCTAATCAACTCTATAGCTTAAAGCTTCTTGTCTAACAAACACCTCAAGTGTAACATATAGAATATTACCTTAAAATAATTTATTTTGCTAGAAATTTATTTCACTGAAGAAGGACCCAAGCACCTAAAAGCCCACTCTACTTTCAGTTGACCCCTGGGCATATAAACTGAGATTCCCAATTCAACATCCTAAATCCCTACAGAAGTAAATATTAGCGCTTTTAGTAAAGCCATCTGATAAATGAACAGGGGGCAGTGACCTCTTGTAACACCCTAACACCTCTGAAACAGAGTGCCTTTTTGTCTCTGAACGAGCTTAGACGTTTATTGCGTGCTTGCAGACCTTGGCCGCGATAAATCTGCTTGATAGATTTCTGACATCTTGTCCTGTTGAAATAAACCGGTATTAGTATTTCAGAGAGCACTTCTGTTCAGAAGTAATAGTCTTTGTTGTACTGTTAGCATTGCCTGACTTGTACCAAAACGAAGGTGATACAGGTGGGCAGAGCTAGGGGATGTGATAAGAAACATAGTGTAGAGGATAACAAATAAACAAACACTGGTTGCTATGTAAAAAGAGTCCAGAGTTCAGTAAGACAAAGTGACTCAGGTATCTCTCAGTCTTTGCACGCCAGTCACACTTCCATGTAAGGACGAAAAGGAACAAGCAATTGCTTTATCTTTATACTACTTTTTAAATAACTTAGCAAGGAGGAGCAAGACACCAAAGTATTCAAACCTGACAATGTACTGGAGACAACCCAGAGAATAGTTCTGCAGAGATGGGGAGAAACACAGCCTGAAATAATACCTGAAGTTAGAAGAACCGATGGCTGCATAAAGAGAAAGGAAGCTGGCTGAGATTTCAAAAGCCCCCAGCCCATACGGACATTACCTACGTAGCTCCTGCCATACTCCCCTTGTCCCTTTGGAGAAGGCAGGCAGCCACGAGGCACCCGGCTGCCTACAGCGTACCCCGCTTGTGGTTGCTCTTCACCCCACCTCAAGTAAGTACAACGAGTTATACAGAACACCTAGAAGAGTATCTTCTGCTCTAGGTATGTAGTATTTTCAAAGGCATCAATGTTTGGGTTTTTTTTTTTTTTTTTTTTTTTTAACATTATTGTGGCCTTAAAATAAAGCAGGAATTAACTGAATGTATATCTTTTAATATAAAAAATAATCTCCATCTCTGTTTATACACATGAATATATGTATATAAATACTTGGAAGCAGAATCTTGGGAAAAAACCCTGATGCAGTCAGCAGAAAAAATAAAACTCATCTTACAGTGTTCTGTACATCACAATTAAAGCTGAGAAAAAAAGAAGAAAACTCGTGTCTAGGTACACAGGAGACATTACTGGACATGCACCCTTTATGTAACCAGCTCCAGGAATACAGTGTTCCACCGCTTGGTATTTGATGTTTGACTCCACATTGTTCAGCTTGTTACTGCAGGCAATTTTTAACAAGGTGGGTGAGATAATTTCATGCTAGTGAGGACAGGTAGCAGCTTGCAGGGGGCTCTTGCCCAGACAGTGATCTCAGAATTACACCACCACCAGTCCTCACCAAAGATCTGAGCGAGCTCTTTTTCTCCAGCATGCAGACCACCCACAACCCTGCAGACAGATCTTTGCAAAATTACCATTAGCAACAAAGAATTTTATTGTCACACTGCTGATGAATGGTGAAACAAATGTTGCTGATGCTGGTAATTAAATAATAGGTTTTGTACCAACTTCTTTTTATAATCTAGAGCCTTCACTTTCTTCAGTACTTCAAAATATTTCTTCAATACTTTGGATAAAATATCCAATTTATCATACACCCCTCCTGCTTCCCATGTCTCATTCTGTAGTTAAACAAGGCTACCAAACTGCCTCTATTTCTCCCTGAGGATGAGTCTTTCAGACTCGGCTCTTTCAGGGTCACGGTGTAAAATGAGTCAGTAGATGCGGGCATGCTGGTGCTAGGAAGGAAAGCTCTGGCATTGAAGTCTCCTGGTGGAAAAGGACATACTTGGATCCATATAAAGCCAGCGAGCTCTATACCAAGTCTTCTGTGGGACTTGAAACTCACTGAAGAGAGTACTATTTGTCTCCTCAGATCCATTTTAGAGTGTTTTCCACATGCCAATGCAGTATTTTAACAAAAAAAGCACAGATAAGTGCTTGACATTTTCTTCCAAAGTGATCCGCAAACACTTCGTAACGCTGCAGAATTTGCATTGGGATGGCCAGGAGGAGCCAGCTGCAGGCTTCAGGAGCAGAGGGTTAAAAGGAGGGCCAGGAGCCAGCTCTGAGCACAGGCTGTGCTATTTCAGCTGTCCCACAGACAGACATTACTGGTACCTCCCGGGCAGGCCCTGAAGGAGCCGTGAACAGCTGATTAAGAGAACCTGCGGAGAGGACAATCCTTGTCATGTGCTCTGCAATGCCCAGCGTGTATCATCGTGTCACACGGGGCATTTATGGACACCCAGCTTTTTCAAAGCAGCTTAGGAAGATGCCAGGCACCTGCCCTCCAGCGTAGGACACCATTAAATACTTAGTTCCTTCAGTGGCTTCGGGATGAAGCAAGATGAAAATAAACCACATCAAAATAAAGAATGAACATTTCTAGATAAAAACAAAAGACTACAACTGTTCAAAAGTATTCTGATGTAAATGCATTTTTAAAGTTAACTGTAGACAGGCAGTGGTGTTTGAAAACAGTTGTTTAATTGTCTAGACCCTGGAACAAAAAACTACCAGAAACTAAATACCAAAGTAAAGATTCCGCTATGAAGACCAACATGCCAGCTCCACCACACCTGAAAAATCCCCAAGGGCCAGAATCAGAGAGAAAACAGCCAAGGAATTGTCTGTGTATAAAAAACCAAACCACAATAACCTCAAAAAAGCAGGACACCCCTTCTTTAGCAGCCACTGTTTCACCTCAACAGACACAGGAGCTGTGTTACTGGACTGCATGCCTGACCTGGGCCAGTACCCCATCTGGGTTTTTTGAATTAATGAGTTCTTATCAGAGATTCTAAGTAAAACTCTTTCCAAGCTGTCAACCACACAAAACTACTTTGGGCTATGAAAATCAGGCTGAGATCCTTACAATTAACACATCAGGCCAAGCCCTGTCCATAGGTATACTTGTACCCTTCCTTTCAGCTCATCACAGGAGTGCAAGTGGAGATTTTGCCCTTGCAATTACAATTAAGTAAAGAGCACAGATACTAACAACCAGCAGGACTACCCTACCTCACTTTAGCAACTCCCAGACATTCACACAAAGCCCACAACCCTTATTTTATGCACTTGGTAAGCAAACCCAGCTCCACGCATACAGAACAGACCAGCTGAGACAGAAGGTATCACACCAGCAACTTCTAAAGGTGCTGAAATCACAGGTTACAGCAACTTATGCAGCACAACTGAGGCCCAGCGTGGGCTTCACAGGTTCAGCACCCCCTGACACACCTCACCAACAGGCCTTTACAGCGTTGTTTTGGCATGCAGACCACACAGTGATTAAGTTTTTAAACACTTTGTTCTTCAGTCTGAGCACCCACATATTGTATTTAATGGAAGTCAAATCACTATTCTAGTGAGTGGACAAAGTTGGAAGAGATTTCAAACAGGGAAATGACATTACCACAACTTCAAGCCATCACCAGGCTGTTACACAGCTTCTGCAAAGACAATTCAAGAAAATAACCATTAAAAAATAAAAGGTTTCTTCATTTTGTGATGACACATTCTGGTACATAAACTGCAAAGACCAGATATTATTGAGCTTTTATGGCTTTGCATTACTATTAGAGACGGGTACATGTGAACTTGTCTGACAAGCACGCATGGACTGCAGGACGAACGTCCCTTATCAATGCCTTTCATGGCAACACCACATAGCAGTGGTATTGTTTGTACTGTGGCAGTATTACAAGTACCTACTTAAGGCTCAAAGCCTCAGTTTTTATATATTTTTCCTCTAGCAGCACAAAATATTATGAAAAAAAAGGAGATGGGCAATATGGGGCATGATTATAAAAAAAGGTATAAATACTTCCAAAATTTACCAATTTGGAAAGGTCACTTAACTTCTCCCACCCCAACTGCCACAGACAAGGAAAACAGGATTAAAAAAAAAAAATTTAAATACTCCAACATGGAAAGCACATCTTATTTCTCTTCTTCAGAGAAGATAAATGGCCTGTTTCTAGAGTAAAGAGCTCAGTCCAGTGTTCACTAGATTCAGGGTAGGTGGAATTGAAGGTCATGCAGCAGTGAGCTCACAAGACAGTACTGCTTATTTTGAAGCATGAGTAAGTTCATTAAAGCTCCTGCTGTATTCAAAAACAGGAGCAAAGTGCAACTCTATGTAAATTTTCCTTTATCAGCTATGTTTATTGGAACAATAACAAGCTATTTTCAAAGTTATCAAGTTCTCGGTCCCTAAACGCAGATGATAAACAAAGGAAATGCTCTTTTAAACAAGTCTGCATCAACAAACTTGTAAGAAAAACATTCTGTTCCACTCATTCTTGAATTAAGCAAACAAAATAAGGCCTTTTCAAAGCTAAAGGGGAGTCACCCACTGATCACACCCTTCTAGGTTTCTCTTCATACCACTCTAGGCATATGACAAAAGAGGGGGGGGAAAAAAAAAATCTTGGTGTTACACAGCCCAGAAATTTATTGAATATTTGCTCAAATACATTCTGTATAGAACTGTTCAGCTTGCATGGTTTTGGTGCTCCCAGGAAAGATCACTAACAAATGCACTGAGCTGTAATCACCAAATAGAAATTGTTATGTATGAAAATGTTAAGCATGGGGCTGCAACCTCTTTCTGGCCAGATCCACATGTTGAATTTGACTAAGCACCTTCCTCTCAAGGGATTAAATTTGTGTAAGTTGCTGCATCAAGTGTTGTTTAGAAGAGCCTTTTATATTTTGGTCTTTTAAAAACACTTCAAGTATTTGCATTTGAAGTTTTCAATACTGGAAACATTTAGTCCAGAGTGTTTGCAGTGGGGTCTTTCATTTTTCACACGGTCTCTCTTCTAAACATCCCAGAACATTTAGTCTTCAGTTTTGGCTTCCATTTCCTCAGCATCATCATCCCCATCCACTTCAGCATTTTCTCGCTCCAGTCTTTCCAGCTGCCTGGCAAGCTCAGTCTCATCTGTGTCAGTAACCACCTTAGGCTGAAAAAAAAAACCAAAACCAAACATATCAGAACACATGGTAAACTGTCATAAAGAAACACCATATATATTTGTAGACTCTGATTCTACATAAAGAGCAAGAGATAAAATACATCCTGAAGTCACAAAATAAAACCCTGGAAAACTAGAAATGTTGACCATTTGTTTATTTAAGAAATAAAGAAGATCAGTGGGTTTTTATATTTTTAATACCTTTCTGCTAAAGTTTCTCCTAGGAATACTTTAAAAATGTTCCAAGAAAAAAAAAATTATTACATTTTAAACTATAACATGTTCTTACCTCCATTTGCACATTAAAGACTCCTCTCTTCTCCTCAATTTTTTCTTTAATTACAGCCATGGCTTGATTCAGAACAGAGAGTCCCTCAGTTCTCTCCAGCGTTGTAGTAGTCATCACGTAACGAGGAGGGGCTATCAGGTTAATCTGTCATATTGTGATTAGGGGGGTGAGAGGGGAAGAAAGAAAATGCAAACTCAGTAACAAACTCAAAGAAAGAAAAATATTGAAAGCAAAGTGAATAACACTGAATGTACGATTCACAAAAGAAGAAACATTTTCCCATGAAAAAAACCCTTTCTACAAGCATAAACAACAAGCACAGACAAGGAAGCGCATAGCCTCTCTGATCTCCAGTATCAGCATCAGTTATTTCTATTTAGTATGTTTATTTTGACAAGTATTGTTAAGCAGAGAGAATATTCACTCTGCAGATCAGTAGGATAGCCTATCACATCATGGTTTAAAACAGCAAGTGTTATAAAGTACTTATTCTTTTTTTTTAAGACAACTGAATAAGTAAACTGTTGCTTTTTTAACAAAAGGAACTTTTAACTGTAAAAAGAAACTTTTACTTTTATTATTTTCAAAGAAAGGACTTTCAAGTTTTTTGAAGACACTTAGCAATACACTCAATGTCTTAAAATAGGGAAGAAAAACTACACCTGGGCACCACAGCCATTCTGCCAACAGTCAGATGTATATGGAGCAAACATTCCTTCTCTTACACAATCTTATACCTGAAAATAAAATGTATTGCTTGCTACCCAAGGCTGCACAAAGGAACAGTAGGTGTGTAGTGTTCCAAACCTAGACTTTAATAAATCAAACAGGGTGAGTACAGCTGCTTGACCTTGGTAAGCCACAGCAGAGTCACAGAACAGCTGTCAGCACACAGCTGCCAGGCACCGTGTCACAGCCCTGCTGGAGCAGGACCAGAAAGCAGGTGCACAGCTTCCCAGCCTCAGCTGCAGGCACCCGAGAGCATCGGAGAACTCTGCTTCTCATTTCACTGCTCAGACAGGCACTTACTTTAATGGGCATGTTCTCCGTGGAACAGTTCAAGCCTGCCCTCAAAGCTTCTTTTACTGCATCTATGCCTTCATAACCATAACAGGCCACCTCAATATCTAGAAGAGAGGAACACAATCAAACTGTAAAGTTACCAAAAGCTGTAGAATCTTCAAAGCTTTCTAACTTAAGTTTTAATAAAGCCTTTTAACATCCAGTGTTTATCCATGATGAAAGCCTCCAAAGCTAAGGAAGCTATTTCACAGCTTTGCAAGTTGTAAGACTTGATGTAAGTCTTCATAAATTTTTCAGACATACAAAGTTTTACATTGTGCTTTTAAAAGCAAAGATATGAAATGATACACCCACATTCCCTCACTTCTTGCACAATAAATTCAACATGAATAATTACATATTTCACATGAAGACACGAAGATATAAAAGCAATAAGTATCAGAAAAAATGAAAGATCTGGAAAAATCAAACTTGGCAAAAGAGCACATCCACAAACTCATGGGGTTCTGTCAGCAGTTATGACAGACAAATAAAGGCATCACTGGAGGAGCATCGGAATTTCTTTATTTCTTCAGGTAAGTTATATTAACATACAGTAAAAATGATAATTTCCTCCTGACCAATCTCAGAAAATACAAGCTAAAGGAACAGGCAGTGAGGTGGGTCAAGAACTGGCTGCACAATAGAGCACAATGAGTGATGATCAATGGTGCCAAGTCCAGCTGGAGACCTGTAACTAGTGGAGTGCCCCAGGGGTCAGTGCTGGGTCCAGTCCTGTTCAACATCTTCATTAACAACCTGGATGATGGTACAGAGTGTCTGCTCAGCAGGTTTGATGATGATATGAAACTGGGAGGTTTGGCTGATAGACCTGAACGCTGTGAGGCCATTCAGTGAGATTTGGCCAGACTGAAGAGCTGGGCCAAGAGGAACCTAATGAGGTTCAACAAGAATAAGTGCAGAGTCCTGCACCTGGGCAGGAGCAATAAAATGCACCAGTACAGGTTAGGAGGTGATCTGCTAGAGAGCAGCCCTGTGGGGAGGGACCTTGGAGTCCTGGTGGACAACAAGTTGTCCATGGGACAGCAGTGTGCCCTTGTGCCCAGGAAGGACAACGGGATCCTGGGGTGCATTAAGAAAAGTGTGTCCAGCAGAACAAGGGAGGTCCTGCTCTCCCTCTACTCTGCCCTGGTGAGACCTCACCTGGAGTATTGTGTCCAGTTCTGGGCTCCCCATTTCCAGAGGGAA